GTACACAAGCGCTGTGGTGCCCGCGGGCACTGTGGCACATACTGACGCTGTGTTGCACGCAGCTGCTGAAGTACGTGGGCGGTGTGGTGTACACAGGCGTCGCGGTGCACGCAGGCACTGTGGTGTACACAGGCGCTGTGGTGCAAATCGCCACCTACACGTTGCTGAGTGGCCGTCCTCTGTCATTCCCAAGCATTCCCAGACGCCGCAGGCGCAAAACGTGACGTCATTGCCCCCCCACCCCGACCGATGATTGCCGCCATCGGTCCGGAATAAACAGGTTCCAGCCGCGTCCGCGCGCACGACGACGATGACCGACGAGCGACGAGCGAAGACGACGACGACGACGACAACGACGACGACGACGAAGGCGACGACGACGACGACGACGAAGACGACGACGAAAACGACGACGACGGCAACGACGACGACTGCGGACCAGACTCTTATGCGGAGTACTCAGCGGACACCTGCGCGGATCCCGATGCGCACGGCGGCAGTGCCCGGAGCGCACTGGGGGGGGGAGTGTTGCATCATTGGGGGGGGGGGCGGCGGGGGCCATGACGCTCGCCATGTCCCAAGAAAAAAACACGCTCCTGCCGCCGCCGCCGCCGCCGACGAAAACGACCTTGAATCTGGACAAACATTGGGGAACAGAAAACGGAATGCGTCGGATCTGCGCTAGTTCCCCTGGCGGCGCCTGCAGGGCCGCCCCAGGCGCATATCCCAAAAATCCGCGCGGACCCCGTTTCTCGAGAAAAGAGGGAGCTTTTCATCAGGATAATTGAACAACCCCCACCCCCTTTGGGGAAGCCTTGGCCCCGCTGGCCGATCTACCGCCCCTAGGTGGGGATGGGTGCCATCTCCTTCGGGCTTCGCGGCACCGATCCCCGCCCGGAGGGGGCACGCTGGAGGGCTAACGCACCCTGGCCTGGTGGGGGCGGGGGTGGTTCTGACAATGCTGAATGAAATCTGGGGAGACATCATGGCCCCGCCCACGAAGTCCACTCCACCTAGACCAATCTTTTGCCTGGATATTGGTTATCCCTGCAGCATGTCCCGATTATGTCCCATAGTCAATGGGCTTCACGGAAGACATGGGAAAGAAATGATAATGCCGTTAAGCATGCAACAGATGCAACCCTGAAGGGAAGAGGCCGGCCCGCCGGCCGATGCGCGCGGCCGCGCGCGGGCGCGTTCCTGAACCAAACTGCTTGAGCCAGCAATCAGGTCACAATCAGTACAGTACATGGCAGCGCAGAGAAGTGCGGGTGAGAAGGGCGGGAACCGGGAGGCGCAAAGGGGTGCGTTGACTCCCCCCGCGGCGGGATGCGCAGAGCCGCCCCGACCCCTACCCGTCACCAGGCCTGTGCATATGTACAACGACCGGAGCGATCCCCAAAAGACAAGTTTTACCACTCGACGGTGGGCGCCTGGGGACAGGGCGGAGAAGCCCGACGTTTCCCGCCTGAGTTAATATTCCCAGCTCAGGTCTCAATGCCCGCATACAGCGGGTGCATCCGCTCCACGAAGTAGTACGATTCAGCTCCGACTGTGTCGTGCCGGACCCTGTCATCTTTATCCTCACCTTCTCCAACGGTATTGGGGCTCCCAAGAGTCCTCGCATTGCCATTCTTTTCTTGCGCTCCAGTCGCTTGATGGGCTCCATTCATATCGTTCATTCTTGCCCCGGCCCTTCTCCGACGAACTCACTTTCGGAGCAGGCGAAGGCGCGGCGACTCGCAGATTTCTTGATGATCCAGAAGATCGGCGAAACTTCTCATTGCACTCATCAGGCTTAAACCATTGCCGCGTTTTGCTGTGATCCGCAACTGTCTGATGTCGAAGAAATGCACATGATATCAGTGAATCTCTCCAATTTCACTTTTGTCTTCGTAGTCGACGGTCGCGTCGTAGACGCCGTGCATGAGCGGCCCGTCGCCGTGGCCGTCGCGGGAAGATCCGCCACCCGGCGTAACCGCCGGTGTTTGTGGTATATATTCCTCATTCCTGGGCTCGTCGGCCCGGGATTGAACTCTGCCCGGTTCAACCCCTCTAGTCTCGCGGCCGGGCAGGGGCAGTGCGATGAGATGTATTCCAGCGTGGCTTTGGCTCTCTCGGAGGTGGCCGGGAACGTTGCCCAATTCGCTGCATGGCGACATTGTCAGCAACAGAAGCCGGGCAACCCGCTGGCGACTCAGCCTGAACCGTCTCGCCGGGGGAAGCGGCTGCGCCGTTTTCCGCCCTCGTCATATTAAGGAGGTTGATGATTCCGATAGCGTTGTCGGCATTGACTTCTCCAAAAAGGCCAGTAGCGAAACAAATTTTGACGCTGTGCGATTGATCCGTCAACGCACTAATGTAAACAATGGTTCCATGAATACTGGAACAATTATCTCGTGCAGTCTTGGAAACCTCAGTTCCAAAGCCGCCCAGCCAGTTATCAAACAAATCGAATGCTTCGATTGCTGATCGGATTCGACACTCCAAAGCATAATCGTCCCCCAAAGATTGATCAGACGTCAGAGTACGCTGAATTTCCCACACCGGAAAAACAACAGAAATTCCCGCAAACACGCTCGCGCACAGCTAAAAGAACCCTTCCCCATCCTCCGTTGACGGGGACACGGTTGAATGGTTGATCCCAAATTTGGTCTATAAGCTCTGCTAATCCTGGAGGCGCGTCATGAGTCACGTCTGAATCCAAGTGCCTCGCGTTTGGATCAATCGTTATGTACTCAAGGACAAGCTGCGTTGCGACTTTCATGATCTCTGGTATTTCACTTGTTGTTGTCGTGTTTGTAGCCGCCCATGCAATCAGAAATGGAAACGGAATCAAGCCAAAAAGGCAAGTCCCTATCTGCAAGAATCATCATGTGACGCTGTGCAATGTATATGTTGGGAACACCTTTCGACCTTTCAGCCCTCTTCCCGTTGTAAAATCGCGTCATCGCTGCGGCTTGGCCGGTGATGCAGATCAACAACAATTTGCAAATCTATATCGCCAAGGGTGGCGACTGCGAATGCTTGATTCACCGCTCGAAGATTGTCAACGCATCCCACCAGTCTTTTGGGCGTGAGTGGTTTAGAGAGCCCGCTCTGCCCTCAACCCCACTTCTTCCCCTTCGGGGAGGGGTTTACCCCTCCCCCTACCCCCTCCCCCTGGACCTGGAGAGGGAGCCCCGAGCGTCGTCAGGGGAGTCTTTTTCGACGCCTGGGAGGGCCAAACAACAACGACCCTCGCGAGGATTCTGGCCCCGAGGGGGGGGGGGGGGGGGGCAGTTTGGCGCCTCAGCTCGTCGTTGAAGCAAAAAACATTGATTTTACTAAGGTCTTGGTTTCATTTTGGCCTTCTGAGGGGGCCGCGTTCCTCTTCCTTCTTAGCAAAATCATTGATTTTACGAAGGTTTTGGTCTCATGTTGTCCTTCTCAGGGGTCAGCGCTTATTTGCGCTTCTGAGGAGGTCGCAAGAAGCCCCAAGATAGCCACAAGAGGCCCCCAGGAGTCTCCCAAGAGGCCTCCAGGAGGCCCCCAAGAGGCCCCCAAGAGGCCCCAAGAGGTCCCCAAGAGGCTCCCAAGAGGCCCCAAGAGGCCCCCAAGGCGCCCCCAAGAGGCCCCCAAGAGGCCCCCAAGACGCCCCAAGAGCTCCAAGAGGCCCCCAACAGGCCCAACGAGAAGCCCGAACGACTCGCACCAGGACGAGAGACCCCAACGACTCACACCACGAGGAGCCCGAACGAGTCACACCACAAGGACGGACCCGAACGACTCACACCAAGACGAGGCGCCCGAACGACTCACACCACGAGGAGCCCGAACGACTCACACCACGACGCGGGCCCCGAACGACTCACACCACGAGGAGCCCGAACGAATTACACCAGGAGGAGGGGACCGAACGACTCACACACACAAGGAGGGGACTCACACCACGAGGAGCCCGAACGACGTACACACAATGAAGGGCCCGAAGGAGTCACACAAGGAAGGACGAGGGGCCCCAGCGACTCATGCCACGAAGAGCTGGAACGACTCACATACCTGCAACGCACACAGACGCAAACTCTCGCATTATCTCTGGCGCGCCTGCATGTCCTCGAGCGATAGCCGCCACAACGCCTGCATGTCCTCGTTCGGTCTCTCGAAGAGCCCGCCACAAACCCCAAGAGGCCCCCCCCCCCCCACCCCCCCCCCCCCCCCCCCCCCCAAGCCCCCAGCGGATCCCGCCACGGGGCTCGTCCGCCGCAGACTGCGGCAAGCCTCAGGCCTGATTGGCCTGGCCCAACTGGTTGCCCTCCAGCTCGGACGTCACGTTCACCATGCTCGCATAGTTGAACGCCCCCTCGGCAGCTTCTGGTGCTGCTCCTCAACCCCCTCGCCGCGCTGGCAGGACGGCGCCCTGCTCCATCGGCTTGCCATTCTGCGGGTTCTTACCCGCCAGAATCCTGTCCCGCTTTTTCCTCTTCGCATCATCCTTGGTGGACCGCCCGCGGGGCGCCAACGGGCCTGGGCAGGCAGCCCCCAGACCCGCCCGACGCCTTGCCGAGTGAGCACCGCACACCACGCGCACCACGTACGGGCCATGGACTTCAACACGATGCGGCCTGCCCTGCTCCGCAGGCACAACACGTTCTTCGCGTTGTTCTCCAGGCCGTGCTGCTGCTGGTGCTGCTGCGGCTGCGGCCTCCGCTGCGATGGCCACGCTGGCCTCCAGCGAGCTGCCTGTTCCCGCACTGCACGCGCCTGTTGTCTGCCAGAGTGGTCGTACGCATTCCGCTTGTCACGTCTTCATGCGCATCCGCTTGGGCGCCGCACGAAAGCCACACCTCATGCACACCTGCCAACCGCCCGTCTCCACGACGTCGTGCTCGGTCAGGGTCAGCATCGGCTTCGGCACTCTTCGCCTCGGCACACCTCTCTCTTTGGGCGGCACGTCTGGCCACGTACCGCCCATCTTTTGGTACCACCAACCAATGTTCTACAGCGCCCAACGTACTCGCCCTGCTAGGTCCTCCAGCGCTTGGTGCTTGCCGCAGTGTGCGTCCATCTCCGCGCCCACCTTTGCCAGCAGGTCCACCTCGCTGTTGCCCTTCGCAATCTTCAGGTCCTCACCCTCGAGCTGCCCGATCCTGCTCTTGGACCTGTGGGCCTTCACGTGCTTCACGCAATGAATGTCAAGGTCCAGGTCCTTCACCTTATGCCATATCCTTCGCCACAGGTCTGCGTGTGGGCGCTTCCAGCTCGTGCACCACCGCTCTCCTCTCTGCAAGCCCTCCACGATGCCCTTGTGGTCTGTATAGACTTGTCCTGGCGGCAGCATTCGCTCCAGCACCTTCAGGAAGGCCCACATCTCGGCTCTCTTAACCCTCCTGTGGATCGGTAGCGAGCACGGCAGCGGACCCCACATCTGCATCTTCGCGGTGCCGTTGTCGTTGAGGGACATCGCTGCCCAGCCCGTCTGCGCCCAGTCGCTGTACCCGAGCTTCGAGCCGTCGCAGACGATGTCGCCTGTGAAATAGTCCTCCTCACCGTCGACCACTTGTCCGTAGTACTGGTCCTCCTCGATTCCCACGAACTTCCAGTCCGCCTCTGGCGACCTCACCAGCCCGCGCGTCCACAGCGTGTTGGTGTCCTGCTGCTCCGCCACGTGCTGCCAGTCCGCCTGCGCCTGCAGCCTCTGGCCCCTGAGCGCGTGGCACTTGTAGTGCCGATGATGCGCGGTGCCCACCGCCTCACCACAGGCCAAGCAAATGTCCGTGGGTACGATGTTGCACCTGCACAGCTTCTCCATAGTCCACGCACCTCCGACGAAGATCTTCTTCGCCGCATTCCTCGCGTGCTTCGGGAAATCACGTGCACGTAGCTGCGCGACGGCTGGCGCCAACAACGGCATTGGGCCCAGGCTCTTGAACTCCTCCGCCTGCGCCCATTCCTCCCAGAGGGTTGCCTGCACGTCCTTGCGCACCATCGCCGCGATGTCCATGGGGCACACCTCCTGCATGTTCAACACGAAACCCTCCTTTGAGACGAAAGTGTGCCACGCAGGCCATGTCCACGTAGCCCTCCTCATTGACATGATGACTGCCACTGCTGGGCCTCGCACTCGGGACCAGGCAGGCTTCATGCCGACCTCCTGCTGCTGCCGCCTCCATGCCCGCTGCAACATGGTGGCTATGTTGTCCCATTGACCTCCTCCATCCTCGTCGTGTGCGCCATGCCATACTGCCCGCGCCCACCTCACTATGGGCGCCTCTGTGACCTCGTATGTAGGCTCCTCCTGCGCAACTGCCAGCTGCAAGGTGAGGCTGCGGGCTCCTCGTCCCCCTGGTAGTAGTCGCCCTGCCTCTCGCCGTAGCTGTCGGAGCTGGTAGTCTGGCATGCCCAAGCACTTGCATCCATACATAACCGAGCGCTTCAGGCCACACTTGTACACCAAGCCAACACCCTTGGTCATTTTTCGCCCGCCCTTTAGAGCGAGCAGCCTACGACTCCTGACCTTCATGACAGCGTGCCTCTTGCCGCTCTTGGTCTTCGCCGCCGTGCCGTGCGTGACGATGTCGACCCCCAAGTATGGACATGCCCTCACCACTGGCAAGCCTCGCTCCTGCATCGGCCCTGTCACGGCCCTTCGCGCCCACTTGGTGCTCGCCATCACTGCACCTTTGCCCTTGCTGCCCACGGAGAACTTCAAGCCTAGCCCCTCGAAGCCTCGGAAGCAGCTGTCAATCGTCTCTCCGAACTCCGTGACTATGTACCTATGCTGCTGTCGCAGCCGCACGCACAGGTCGTCCACGTACATCCTCCAGCGCGCCCTCGGTCTCTCGGCTACCAGGCCATCCACCGTGGACTGTATGACCATCTTCAGGAAGCATACCGAGAACTTGCTACCCGCGATGATGGCGGTGACCGTCTCGGTCTCACTGGACACCGAGTCCCCTACGATGAGGCGCCTGGTCATGGCGAAGGCTGAGCACACCACAGCTAGCACCCCTGTGTTGAAATTGAGCTGCTTTCCCGCTTCCCACAACACGTGCAAGCTGACCTTCTCGAAAGCCTTTACCAAGTCCAGAACGGCCGTAACCGTCGCCGGCGTCTCCTCGCTCTGCTCCTCGACATCGTCCATCTCGTGGCTGAGCAACGCCTCCCAGGCCGCGTCCTCCGCCGCCTTGCCGTAGCCCGTTCAATCCCAGCTCCGATAGTTCTTCTTGGCCCACTCGACCATGTACGGCTCTCGCATAATCTCCCACACTCTTATGGCAGTGGGCAGAAGCCCGATGACCCTGTCCGTGGTGTAGGTCTTCGGGATCATGAAGAATAGCACAGTGCCCATGTGGATGGGCCAGCGCAGCGTCCGCTCCACCTCCATGTAGAAGTCCAACAGCTTGACGTAGGCCTCGTCCGACGCACCCTGCAGCATAGAAGGGTGCCACCTGTCGACTCCGACCCCCGTCTTTTTCCTGAAGGTGCGCGCAACCTCCTTAAGCTTGTCGACGTCCTGGTCTGTGAAGGGCTCGAGCTTGTCACGTTCTTCGCGCTCCCACGGCCGCTCCACCTTCTGGATCTGCTCGCCGACCCTCCAGACCACGTTCCACTCTTTGAGGGTGTACTCCGCTGCCTCGATGGGGTCCGCCGAGTCCTCCATGGAGCCTGCCCTACGCGGTCTCCATACTGGTGCAGCCTTGCTCAACTTGTGTAGACCACCCGCTGCTCCTGCTGCCGCCTCCTGCAGCCTGTCTGCCCAGCGTGCTCGCCTCTCCTTGAGCAGCTGCTGGTCGTACCCCTTCATCTTGCCCTGGCTCTCCTGCATCCATTGCTGCAACTTCGCTTCCTGCTGCGCTCCTCGGAGTAGCCCAGCAGCCAGCAGTCCGCACCTGGCCGGCCACCTCCCCTGCTCCTTTGCATTGAGGTGCTTGGTCCTCTGGTGCGTGATGATGAACTGGTGCTCCTGCGCGATTGCCTCCTCCTGTCGGCGCCTCTGAATGTCGCCAGTTCTCGCCAGCTTGAGTCTCGCGTATGCCCCTTGCAAGCTCTGTAGCGTCCTCGCGAGCCACCTCCACCAAACTGCTTCCCTGGCGGCTGGCGGCGCGTTGGCACCACCGAAACTTAGCGGCTTGATCCTCCATGTTGGCTCCTCGGCCCGCCCTGCTGCAGGGTGGTCGGGTGCCCATTCGAGTCCTCGTGCTGCGAAGGTCTCCTGCTCCAACGTCTGCATGTACTGCCTCCACTCCTGGTTGGCCACCTCCTGCGACCTGAAGCTCGCGATCTCTTGATACTGCGGCGGCGCTGGGGTGCATCCGATGTCCAGCTCTGGCAGCTTCTTTGGCTTCTCCAAAACCCTGACCATTCGCTCCTGCGCCTTGAGCCTGAGTGTTAGCCCCACTGGCTTGTGGGGCGCCGACGGCCACTCCTCCTGCGCTCTGACGTACATCACCTGGTTGACGAGGCTGTCCGCCACGATGAAGTAGTCGATCTCGCTCACGCCGTACGCATGTCTGCACGTACCACAACTGGCCCCTGACGCGACTACCCGCGCCTTGGCCATCTTGACGCTCTCCACCTCCGTCATCTTCTCAGGCGCCACTTGGAAATCGCCCCGGTTACCCACGGCGCGCCGAGCGCTTCCAACTGGCCTATCACCTTATTGATGATCTCCGTGTTCCTGAACGACATCCCATCTGCCGTCCACAGGTAGACCGTCGCGTAGATGATGCCCTTGCCGACCGATAGCCATGCCGCTGCAGCCATCCCTGGGCTGTTTCGCGGTGACAAATCCCACTTCTCCTTGCCAAACATATGCGTCATGCCGATGCACCTGGGCGCCACGACCGCCACGCCCGCAGAGGTGCCTGCTTCTCCACCTGGACCTATCGTCGGGTTCGCTGCGACCCCGCCGAACTGGTACCCCTTCGCCTTCATGCTCTGCGACACGACCGCGATCTTGTCGCCCGTGAGGCGATGCTCTTGCACTGCGTAGCACTGCAGCAGGCCCCCTTCTGAGTTCTCGAACCTCTCTTTGAGGGTACCCCACCCCGAGCCGCTAAACGTCCACAGGGTGATGCTCTCGAACTTGTTCTGGCGGTGCCTGCTAGGAGTGATTTGCCCGCTTATTGTGCCCCGCAAGGCTGGCGCACACCTCGAGCCACCTCTTTCGCTGGGCTTCGCTGGCATCCTCAGGCACCCCACCTGCATGTAGCCGCTCTTGTTCTTCTGGCGACAGCTGAGGTCCCTGCTCGCGTCCTGCTTGTCCACCTCTGGTTGCGCCTGTGCCCCCGCTGCTGCCACCAGCAGGAGCATCACCTGCCTCTTCAGTGCCCATGCCGTCCTTGTCTTCCTTGGGCTCCTCCCTGACGTTGTCCAGCACCCTGGCGAGTGCTGCGAACACGTGCTCGTGCTCCTCTTTGCTGATGCCGCTTCCTTCGACGGCCCATTCGTACTGCTTCTGCATCGCCGTGAGGAAGCCTTTACCCTTGATGAAGACGTCCTGCACCTTGAGCTCCGACTCCTTGGCCTTTGCGACCTCGAGCTGCTCCCTTTTCTTGGCGAGCTTCTCCTGCGCCTCCTGCGTTGCCTTCTGATGCCGCTTGACCTCGCCATAGATGGCCGCCTCCTCCTTCTCGAGCTTCTCCCTGGCAACCCGTGCCTTGGTGAGCTGGACCGAGTGCGGCTTCGTGCTCTGCTTGGCGTCCTTGGCCCGCATGTAGCGCTCATGCGCTTGCAGGTACTCAGTGGACTGGTCTCCCCACTCGGATCTGCACGATTGAGCCCACCTGTAGAGCTTGTCCAGGTCCACGGGCTTCTCGTCGTCTTCATCCTCGCGGGTGGCGTGCTGCTGCTTCTTGAAGTCCCGAAGCTGTGCCCGCATGGTGTCCACCTGCTTCTGGAGCGCAACCTCTCGCTTCGACGGGCCCAACAACGCGTCCTTGTACGTCGGTCCTCTGACGTCCTTGCACGTCGATCTTTGCGTTGTGCCTGGGCCCCACACCCCCGACATTTCTTGCGCGTAACATAGTTGTCCGCCACGCCACAGCTGCAGGACCAGTAACCGTTGTTCGAGCGCGGCCAGCCCCATGCCGCCATCGTGCGCCCGACTGCCGAACGGTAAACCGATCTGCCTGCCGCGGATTAGCGGCATCCCTTTGACCACCAGGGCGAATGCCCCGCGTGTTGGTCATCTTGAGCCAAAATGGCTACGGCAGAAGCCCCCAAGAGGCCCCCGAGAGGCCCCCAAGAGGCCCCAAGAGGCTCCAAGAAGCCCCCAAGAGGCCCCACGAGGAGCCCGAACGACTCACGCCAGGACGAGGGGCCCGAACGACTCACACCACGAAGAGCCCGAACGACTCACACCACAAGGAGGGGCCCGAACGACTCACACCAGGACGAGGCGCCCGAACGACTCACAAGACGAGGAGCCCGAACGACTCACACCACGACGCGGGCCCCGAACGACTCGCACCACGAGGGGCCGGAACGAGTCACACCAGGAGGAGGGGCCCGAGCGACTCGCACCAGGACGATGGGGCCCGAACAACTCACACCACGAGAAACCCGAACGACTCACACCAGGACGAAGAGCCCGAACGACTCACACCACGAAGAGCCCGAACGACTCACACCAGGAAGACGGGCCCGAACGACTCACACCAGGACGAGAAACTCCAAACGACTCAAACCACGAGGAGCGCTTTCTCTCCCTCCACCTCCGCCCCGTCCTTCTCCCGCTCCCGCCACAAGGAGGATGTGCAAGGAGGCGGGGGGAAGGAGGAACAGGGGAGATATGCGGGGCCAAGCGGACACACGCCTTAAAAGCACGACTGTCGGCATGCTTCGCAAGAGTTGCTGCTGTGAGATGGGCTGGTGGGGATGCGCGAAGCGTAAAGAATATTTGCAACGTTGGGATAACAACCCACCTCCCCTCCATTTCTTGTTACCACTGAACCAAGAACACCTCTGGCTGTATAAGATCTGCGCTAACATGATCCCGATCGAACACAGCAAGCGCATAACATTTCATGGGGCGAGCGCACTGGTCAAGATCAGGTGTCCAGATATACGGCCACCATCGGGCAGCAGTGGGGCGATCATCCCCCTAGTGTTTGTGTTTCAACCAATCGAGAAATCTGAGTTTCAAGGGTTCAAGATACTGTGAGAAAGGCCCATGTCGCGCCGGCGGATGTGCCGAGGCGCCGCTGGGGCACCATGAAGGAACAGTTCCTGGCATCGAAACAATATGTTCCTCCAGCCGATGCCATCTTTTTTACAGGCTAGCTCATCAAGAGCCCACTTACGTTGATGCTGTTCCACCTTGGTCAGATTCTCTAAAAGCATCAGCAGAGCTTTTCTTCATTGCTCTTAGCCTATTCTTGATGACCTTGGACCGGCGCTCCCCCCTCGGGGGTTTCTCCAGACGCGGCTGGAGGCCCAGTGCCGCCCAGGCAGCAGACAACGCCTGTTCGGCCGGCTTCTGGAAATAATTTGCTCCGACGTTCAATGTGTGTTTGACCGCGACGCGGCAATGTAAACAATGCCCAGAACCTGCCCATGCAGCACGGCAGTTGGCACGAATGCATCTGCCGCCGTGAGCCCACGGCTTCTGCATTACGCGGCCCTTGTCTTCATCAGAGAGACTGGATCGTCTGGAGTCAATTGCGCCCTCATCGGAGAAAATCCACGCCCTGATTGTACCAAGCGAGAAGGCAACTTCCCATGCAGACCACTCTTGGGAAAAGATCGGGGTCCACAGCATCTGCGCTTCTTAGTTTATGCCTACCCGACGAATCGCTAACAGTTGTACGACCCGAGAAATATTATCGAAACGTGCTTCACCTGTCGCTATGAGAGTCCCATCGCGACAGATGCGATATCGAAGGCGAGACAGTATTCTTCCGTTTGAAACAATAACATATGACCAATCTTGATTGCGTGCAGCCTCGGTTCCCCATGAATGTTGGGTAAATTGTTCGAGGCCATCGCCCATTGGCGGGCAATCCACCGCCAACAGAAACAGCGCCCTCAGCCTGGCACGCCCTGATGGGTGGGGCGTCGCCGTCCTTCCGCTGGCTGAGCCAATTAGGAATACACTGGGCGTGCTCTGGGAGAAATTCATGCTTCGTTGGTATCAATATGAGAATACCGTAATCCGGCGCCTTGCACAATCCGTCGTGCTTACTTGGGCATATGATGATGCCATTTCCAAGAGTCGAATCCATTATAGCCTCCATGGACGCAATGTGCAACAAGTGTCCGTGACATCGCGCCATTCCAAGCTGAGAAGGAGCATGCGCGCGCTCAATGTGGTGAGTAAGACAAGAATGTCCCTGGCATGCGCAAAAGAGCAACGGCATGGGTCTGGCGGCCCTTTCAGCTGTCAACATTAATAACTCGGTTCCCGTTTTCCCCGCCAACGACTGCGTCGCGTGAGGCGTCGGGGCTCAGGAAAGAATTCCATTGATGATAGATCTCCGTTTCTTCGATGATCATAATATCACCCGATCGGATACCGAAAACATCGACCTCTCCTGATGGCAGCATTGTGAAAGCGTGCATAGCATAAGCAACAGTGGCACGCGATATTTCGTGCCCTCATTTTCTGGATAAGATCACCCGCGTATACCCATCCGCCCGACGATCGGGCGCATTCAGCACAATGTCTCGCCAGCAAGCTCGCACCCATGGATTCTGCTTGCGTGTGAGACCGGTGACTGCACTTCCGCCGGAAGTCTGAGCTTCTCAACATGGCAGCACCGCGATTCTTTTTTCAAGAATTTTGCCTCCGCTTCCTCGGCTGCGCCGGTAGCATCATTCGGCATTACTAGTGGAATGAGTGCGTTATAAACCTCCTGTGGAAGAGAGTCTGGTCGGCCATCCGAATCAAATTCTGCTTCCAGAAACTGGGGCGCAGACCCGAAATCTTCTGATTCTATTTCACCGAGAATCGCAAATATGGGGTCTTGTACCAATCGCGCCTTATCCCTGATTGCGTTATAAGAGCGCCCACGAAGAGCCGCAATGTGCGGGGGTACCTGACAAGCCCTGTGGGCTTCAGCAATCTGCTTTCGCACATCGTCGATCGTTTCCTCTCGAATGCCCCCTCGCAGCAGCGATGCGAAGTACAAAGGGTCTCCGTCAGCATTCACTGGCGCATAGCCAACATTCCAAACCCGACCTGGAAGGTCTTGCTCCTCAGGGCGGAGCTGTTTATGGTCAGGCGCCGGCGGGGCACTCGCGCGCCATAATGAATTCTTGACAGCAGGACTTGCGTCCGCATCTACACTGTCTCCGTACATGACGAATTGCTGCTGCTCCCAAAAGAAAGAAATCCTTAAGTCTATGATCGTTTGGATCACTTTCCGTCTCCGAATCGTCTGCGTTCGGCCCGTCGTCCTCTTTGCCGGGAGGTCCTTCAACCGCGGGGGTCCGCGCTCCTCCTCCCTCGCCGACATTGGCCCAGGCTGTGCCAGTCAATGCCACGGGGTCGGGAATGATTTTTGAATATGAGATTTCCTCGGTAGGAATGAACTCCGGGTACCGAAGCCGAAAGAAATCGCGCAAACAAGAAGCCGAATTGTGTGAGCAATGGATACTCAGATGGTCCATTTCTCGCGCATGAGTCAAGTAGCGATGCGCCCAAGTTCGCGTGTCATCCTTCAGAAAAGTTGCCTCTTCGACAGTGAGTTCCCGAACGTAGCCATCACCTGTGCGCCCAGGGCGCATTCGCCAAAGGAGCGTAATTTCATTGCGAAGCGACAGGGTGCGTTCGGCTTGATTGCGGTCCAAAATGCATACACAAAATAATATGTAATGACTTAGTAACTTCTGGTATAGGATCATCGTCTGCAGTGTCCCCCTTCAGCAACGTCAATTCAATCTGACATAACTCGTCTGCAATAGCAGATTCTGTCAGCCCTGCAAACCCTTCAGTCCATTCTGGAGGGGGCTCAGGGAAGTCGAATTGAAGAACCCCGAGCGCTTCCGAGACAAATGCCCTCATGAACCTTGGGTCTGCTTCAACCATACCAAACCCCATAGGCCGTGCCTCTGATTGCGGAACAACCTCCCGTTCATTGCGTTGAGAATCCAATCTCGATGGATCCCTCGGAGGAGGTCTGGGAGGTATAGGCAGACCCCTTGGGCTCTGATCGGCCGGTGCGTCTGCCTTCGCAGGAGATGGCTCCCAGCGGCGGCGCCCTAGGTGCCCTCGTTGGAGCCCGACTAGCCCCCCGTTCCTTAGCCGCTGCTTTAGGGGCAGGTGCAGGAGGAGGAATGGGTGGCTTCGCCACATTATTTGACAACGCTTCCCAACGATGTTTGCCCCCTGGCGGCGGTGCCGCAGGAGGCAATTCCTCTTCCTGTTGCTCATTGCTGGACTCATCAGCCGCCATGTCCCTCTGGCCCCCTGGAACCGGAGGCACGGGGGGTCTGGCGGGCTTCAGAGGCGGAGGTTCGGGTTCCTGAGGCCCCTCAAAGCTCGGGGTCTGCTTGGTCTCGCGAGGAACAGATCCGCCCGCCGGCTGTGCCATTGGCTTGGCCTTCGCCACCCTCTGTCTCTGAGCCAACTGACCCTGTCTCTCCTCTGCTCCGCCCAGGAATGGGTGCACAAAATTGAGGTTGCACCCATTGCTTTCCGAATATTCCCAAATATTTTCCATCGATGGGTCATATTCGAGATATGGTGAGGTGTTTTCCTGCCACTCGATAGGCGCTCAATCAGGAACCCGCTCACACTGTTGGTTTCTGATTTTATTTATCGAAACAACCCTGTTTTGGCTCCTCAATCGTTCGACATTGAAATCATTATCACCTGCTTCATCTTCACCCAAGAAATGTCGCAATATCGTCCAAGAACCATTCCGATGCGTCAACGGCGCAGCGGGCTTCCAATGATACATGCGTATCTCACTCATCACAACATGACCAGTACCT